TAAGAGACAGGGGCCGTGGGGTTTCCCTTGCTCAGCCCCTCGACGCGGGCCTTCGCCCCAGGCTAGCACCGGAGTTTTGTAACTTGTTTTTAATGGCAAATAGGCTGATTCTACATACATATATTCCAATTACAGGCCAGTGGCTACAAAATTGTTAACTCAAACTGTAATTAGAGGCTGCTAAATACCTCTTGCTGCTGTAGTACAGCAGAAGGGAATGCTGTCTGGTAATCCTGCCACTTGTCAGAGGTTATGGAGAGGTGTGGAGGGCACAGGTAAACTATTAAGTGATTATGGGGCTGCGTCTTTATTATTAACACGCATTCCTCTTCTACAGAAAGTATTTAACTTACTACTATTTATCTACAACTCCCTGCCAGGAGGGGGCAGAGAGGGGGGATAAGTCTCTGGAGCCAAGGAGCCAGCGCCAGGCCCCGAGGGAATGGCCTCAAGCTGCCCAGGGCAGGGTCAGGCTGGCTCTGAGGAAGGATTTCTGTGCAGAAGGGGCTGTTGGGCGTTGGAATGGGCTGCCCAGGGCAGGGGGGGAGTCCCCATCCCTGGAGGGGTTGAAGAGTCGGGCTGACCCAGCGCTGAGGGATCTGGGGGAGTTGGGAACGGTCAGGGTGAGGTTCATGGTTCGACTGAAGGATCTTCAAGGTCTTTTCCAACCTTGATGATTCTGGAACTGGTTCTGTAACCTGTGTGTCTGTTGTGTAGGTGACTTGTAACATACTTAGGGGTGACTTGTGCCAGCACAGGCCTGCTAAAGGCAACGGGGGGGTTTGCTACTGCTGTTGGCTCCAGAAGTTTTGTGCCTGTCTTGAGTGAGAGCTGCTGTACTCCACTGAGAGTGATTCAGCACTTCCAAACCCGATGATGCATAGTTTACATTTCGTTAATGGTTTTAAACACAAGTTTCCAATACACTTTACAAACAACATGCCTGATCATTTGTATTGGTAAGAAGTCTGCTAAAGCCACTACTTTGATTACTACTTAGCATGAGAGGGAAGAATGGGAGCTTTTCCATAGCATGCAATAATAGTTCACAGAGAATTTAAGACAGAAAGGGATGTACCCATAAAGAATCATATTAAATGGAAAATACTGAGAATTTAACTGAATATTAGTAGCTTATGCAGAATTGGCTGAATACATAAGGACAAGACTTTCCTGCAGATGATACTGATTTATTAATAAAAGGTAGCACCTTAAGCAGTTGTAAGCACCTTTGTGCAAGGATAGTATGGTGAAAATCAGTTCCAACATGACCATAGCTGGGGACATATTTTACAGCTACCTAGTACAGATAATCTACATCTCTCAGTGTGGCAGGTGCATCCACCCAATGAGAACAGAGCTTTTGGCTGCTGAAGTGCAGCAGCTCGGGGCTGCCTTTGCTCTGGGGCCTCACGGTAACTGGGACCTTTGGGCAGTGGGAGCCGCTATTGACCACAGGGCAGGTTGGGCCTGGGTATCGATGGAGTCCCCTGGGAGCCATTTGGAGCTCGTCCCCTGGAGCAGCAGCTGCAGTCGAGGGCTCTCCCCTTGGGTCAGGACGCTGCCCAAGGAAACTCCTCGAGGTGCCTTGGGTCGGGACGCTGCCCTGAGCAGGTCCTCACTTGTCAGGTGAGTGATTTTGGGTTGCAGTTAAACCCTAGGTGGCAGGGCTTTGTAAAGCGTTTGGGGTTGTCTAAACCCCAGAGAGTGGGGCTTTGTTTTGCGTTTTATGTTGCTATTAAACCCTATAGAGTTCTTTGTTAGGCGTTCTGGGTTGCTGTTAAACCCTAGAAAGCAGTTCTGTTCTCCTCTCACAGACATTCGAAGCTGTAATTTATGGAGAGCTAGTTAACTGTGTTAATAATATTTTTTTTTTTTTAAATTTTTGGTGCTTGGTTGTTATTTGAGAGCATCCGTAAGAATTGGCATCGTCGGCAGGATGTCAATAGAGGAGATATTACAGAAATACAGTTGTGCCCCTTCTCCCCCAGATATGCAATGGGTGAAGGAGAGGTGGTTTGATCCAGTGGAAGTTGCGAGAAAGTTGGAACAAAGCCGGGGAAGTTGGAGGAGAAGCAGAAGTGAAGGAAAAATGTGTGCCATGTTAGGTGCCTGCTTGATTCAGGCGCACAGGAATTCCTGCCCGCGCTGCTGCCTGTGTTTGTGCTGTGGGCGGAGAAAGGAGCGGAGCACCTGCAGCGGCCCAGGCGAGCCTGCCGCACGCAGCGGGGCCCAGCCGTGTCTGACCAGGAAGCAAAACCTTCAGCTGAGGACTTGAGAGATAAGAAAGAAGGGGAATACGTTAAACTCAAAGTCATTGGGCAGGACAGCAGTGAAATTCACTTCAAGGTGGAAAAGACAACACACCTCAAGAAACTCAAAGAATCATACTGTCAAAGACAGGGTGTTCCAATGAATTCACCCAGGTTCTTTTTCGAGGGTCAGAGAATCACTGATAATCATACCCCCAAGGAGCTGGGGTTGGAGGAGGAAGATGTGATTGAAGTTTATCAGGAACAGATGGGGGGGTAATCACTCAACAGTATAGATCCTTCTGTTTGTTTTCTGCCCCCTTAATCCTTTTTTATTTTTAAATAATAGTTATTTTGTAATGTGGTGTTCAGCACTGAATTGAAACTGACACCTACTTTGTAATGGAGAAAGATGCCTTACAGGAGTGGTTGGAAATGGATAATTTAAAGACAGAATTATTACGAGAAAGAGAGAGAAGGTGGTTATTAGAAAGAAAAATTGAAATTATGCTGGCACGAGCAAAAAAGCCTCCTAGTGTTGTTCAGATTCGAAAGTTAATTACAGGTGTAGATCTTGAGAAGTGGAATGGGGATATTTGGGGAGAGTCTGATGGAAGTGGCCCGGAGCAAGTAGAGAAATTGGAGGAAAGACAGGTGCGACCTGTCATTAAAACAAAGGCACACAGGTCCACAAGGTGGGAAACCCCGAACCACGGTCCGTACAACCCCCTGGACAGGAGCCGAGCTCGGTGAGCTTCAGGTTAAATATTCGTGTAAGCTGGGTGAAACTGAGTATTTGTGGAGAGTTTCTTTAATGGGGTGAAATGCTGGAGTTTCAACCCCCAGCCCCAAATTAATGTTGACATGTGGGTGATTCCCACAGCCCTTCCCAAAGGGGGGTGAGTTTCCCTTTAAGCTTCCCTCCAGGGTGGGGCGGCCTTGCAGACAGAGCCATTGGGTCACTGAGCCCCAGGGCTCTGCTGTGAGTAACCCCAGGTCAGGTGTCCACTGAGGGATAACAGCTGGGACCCCTTGCAGGCAGGGCAGTGTCTGTGTGTGAGGTGGGTGCCCTGTGCAGAGTTCCCTGTTGGGGAAGGACCTCCCGCCTCCCTGGGACTGGGCTCCAGTCAGGTCTGGCTTTTGTAAACGTGGGCTGTGTAGGGATTCAGTGTGTGGCTTCCTTGGTCTGATGTGTTTGGCTGGTTGACCTGGTTGTCTCCTGTCCCTTCTATGGGAGACTACATTTCACCATTTGTTCCACCCATTGTGGTTGTGTGGTGGTGTTGGGGTCACTGGGATTGATGTTGATTATGTATAACCTGACTGACTTGTTTGTACCCCCAGTGCTCACCCCTGTACTGACCCTTTTGTATCAAATACAATCTGGTTATTGGTTCATCTTTATGCTGCCTGTGTCCTTTATGCTAGGCCTGATAATTGGCAAAACAGGGGGGGATCAAATTCTGTTGAGTGATGATGAGGTGGGAGGTTTCTGGGGTCCCAGAGTGGTTTTAAGTGATGGACCAGCGGGTAACCAGTTGATGATATTGCGAGTGGCTTACTGGGCGGAGGGGGTGGATCTTAAGGGGGGGGGGAACCTGTTACTGATTTTGCTATCAACTGAAATCAAATTATGTTTGATTTTAATATGAATATAGAATTAAGAGATATTTTAGTAGAAATTATTTGTTCACATTTATTGCACTTCATACCAGCAACTGGATGCTACTCTAAAATCCCCTCTATAGCCCTGTACCAAGGCCAAAGGGATTGGTCAAAATTATCTAGTAGGAACATTTAGAACCTAGCTAACAAACACAAGCTGATTTATAAACTGATTTATGATGCATACATAGAACTAGAAGAATGCACGTAGCTGTCAAGGTCTGGGATTAATGGGAAGTGAGGAAAGTCAACTGTAACAGCTTGCAAGTATCTGCCAAGAAACCGTGAACTTAAGCAAAGGGTATTTCTGGCAGGGGGAGACTGTGACCACCGACTCATGGACCACCTACTCATATTACACCCCAGACTCATTTCTAGACATTTCTAGCCTTCAATGTGCAAAATTGGAAATAGGAGGAGAGTATGATAATGATTTGCAGGAAATACTATGTTTATCTATGAACACTTAATGAATATGTATGAGTAAGTTCTATACAACATGTATGATTTTAGTTCTTGGTGTGTGTTGTTAGTGAGAGCACTCACTTGTGCACCCAGCCATCAATAAAGAAGTGTCTGCTTATCTGCATCAAATTGGTGTTGTTACGTTCCTTATTCCGAATTTTCGGTAACATTACCATTAAAGTCAAGGGACTGTCGGAGCTGGCAGAGGGCGTACAAAAGGCCGCTTGCATTCAGGCGATGGATGAGAGGGGGCGATGTGGAGTCCCGCTTGCGGCACTGGTGGATCCCAGGCACCTTCGAGCTCTTATTAGAGGGCTCCCGGATGCCTTAAAGATCCGTGTCCTGTCCCTCAGAGAAAGGGTGCAAAGAGCTATTGAATGCAACCAGCAAACCCCCCCAACCCTCACGTACATGTGTTAACGTGGGCAGAGAGGTGTTACGG